GATCTGTCGTACTAAAGGGCTGTGACCTTCATTTCCGACAGTCAGTCTTGCATGGTGGTTGAAATTGAATTCCCATTTTCCTGTTCTTTATCAGCTCTCACTTTTTAGCATATTCTTTGAAACCGTCGCATGTGAATCTCTTTAGTAACGTCTTATGAAATTATGGGGCGGCGGCAGTGAAAGTCCTGTATTTGCATATCTTCCTTCTCCGCTGTGGGAGAAAACTGGGTGTTTATAATCTGAACGGATAGGGGTCCTTGGTGGTCAGCACTGTTTTAAGAGAAAACGGACGCTGACCCCTCTAACCCAGGTGGTGGTTTCCCCACCTCTGGATTCCAGGATGTCCTCTGGGGCCGCTATGGAGATGTTCTACCTGATCAGTGTCCCAGCCCCTTGTGGTGCCCTTTGTCCCCCAGAGCAGCTCAGTTTGGGTCAGTTTTCTCTACTGAAGATCTATGTGCACTTTCGGATAAAAAGGGACTTCTCTCTGATGACCCAGAGGTTGGAAACCCTTCCTCTAAGCCCAGAGACGTAGTTGGTTGGTTGGGTGTCACACGGGGGTAACCCCCCGGCTCACTGGTTGGAATCAGTACTTCTTCAACACGGAGTGGCAGTTCTGTCTGAAAGGTCCAAAGCTCACCTCCCGGCCCGGGAGGCACCATTCCACCCCGGTCACGTCTCGCTGGAGCTCAAGTTCCTGCTACTTTGGTTTTAGCCTGAGCAGGAGTCTCTGGGCCTGAGCAGGAGTCTCTGGGCTCGCTCAGGGTCTCTCAGGACACCTAGTTTGCCATCTTTGAGACCCCAGGGTCCACCCCAGGATCCATCCCAGGGAATTCTCTAATTGTGGCTCTCATGGGAGAACTTCTGTTTTGTTCTTCGTCTGGGACACGTGAGGATCGATTACTGGGTGGCTTGTCTAATGGGCCACCCTCCGGTCCCACCTGGCGCTTCCCACCTGCCCATAGCAGCTGCAGGAGGCGGGGTAGGTGGTTCTCCGTGCATACCAGGGGATGAATTGTCTCACCATTCACGATTGGCATCATTATGAAGACCATGCATAAAATCTAAAAGACTTCAGGTTAATTTCAAGTAATGTCAAAGCAGTGTTTACTTAGATGTAGATCATTCTGTGTCTTTTTCTGGAGTGATTTAAAAATTCATCCGAATGTCCTGATTTCCTCATCTGTTAGTCCAGCAGAGCCCGCTGACTGAGCGCTGAGAGGCCCCGCTCTGCCTGCCTTGGTGGGGATTCCGGGTGGGCGGCCTCCTGGCAGGTGTCTGAACTTGGAGAAGTTCCTTCCTTCTCGGGCTTCACTTTACGTTTTGGCAGGAAAGGGGCCTCTGTGTCTCCCTCCATGGTCTGAACAGTGAAGTCCAGGTTGAGCAGGGTTCTGAGCCGGGGTCTGAGGCCATGGAGACGTTTCCCAGCCCCTGGGCCTCAGTTTCCAGCCAGTGAGACAACGGCCCATTTCCCCCTCTCCATCGAGAAGGTCCTGACAGAAGGAGGCACTGGACACAAAGTCCCCGGCAGGGTCCCGCTCTGAGCAGACTCTAGGTGCTGGGCTGAGCTCTCACAAGGCCGCTGTGGCGCCCCAGAGCACTCGATGTGAAGTGCCTGTTGTGAGTCCAACAGTGCAGCCAGGAGGCCACTCAGACACACGGGGTGCTGTCACTTGGAACATGAGGAGAGGGGTGCCGAGAGCGTCAGGTGGCAGGATAATTCTCCATCAGCTCTGAGGACACACCACTTATGCCACAGTCATCAAGCCATACCACCCCGCAGAGTCATCTCAGTTTTAACGGTGGCTTATTCTGCCCAAGGGAATAATGACTTCATGGTCCTAGAGACCCGTGGCCATTAATAGAGGGTTTGAGAATATCGACTGGGTAGCAACAGACCTCCGTGTAAGTCTCGCCGCCCTTGCCTGGTGGCTCTGAGACTAGGACAAGCTGAGTCATCTGTTCCCACATTTGTCCCATGTCCCTCCTGTCCCTGATGTGTGTCTGCATGGAGTGGGACAAGGTACACAGGCCGTGGAAGCATCCGGCATGTGCAGTTTCCTCGTGGAAAGTCGCCATTGCTGATGTGCGTTCGTGATGACGTCTGAAGATGCCAAACGCTTTCGGTGTTGGCTTTTTCACGGAGCCTGGCTTTCTGACGAGGTCTGCTTTGTTCCCTCTTCCTCGCAGAGACATGCGCTGGAACAAGGGAACCATCCTGAAGGCATCCGTGGACTACATCCGGAAGCTGCAGCGGGAGCAGCAGCGCGCCAAGGAGCTGGAGAGCCGGCAGAAGAAGCTGGAGCACGCCAACCGGCACCTGCTGCTCCGAATCCAGGTAGAGCAGCGCTCGGCTGGGGGCTGCCGGTGGGGAGAGGAGCCGCGCCTGGGAAGGGCACCCAGCCCCGACGCAGGCTGCTCCAGTCCTGCATCCCGCATTCGTGCATTTTCCTGCTTACAAAGCGCACTGGTCCCCCACCACCACTAATGGCTTCCGAAGTGGTTCTTGGACACGTGGGGAGCGGTGGTTTGGAGTGGCCCTTTGTGCTGGTTCTTGGTGGAGGTCCGGGCCCTGCCCTCTGGTTTCAGCTCCCACACTGTCACCCAGTTACTGTGGCCTGTGGAACGTCACAGGCTCCACGTTTTTCTGGTTTTCGTTCTTGTTGGTCTTGCCATTTAGAATGTCCCCAGGGGCAGTGCAGAAGTGCCTTCCAGCGTTCCCGGGGTGGAGAAGTGTCCCTGTGGTGTGCGCAGGGGTCAGATTCACTCCCTCCAGGCCTTAGTTTCGGTGTTTGGTCTGAGCCCAGTATTAAGGAACCTACTGTGTGTTTTAAAGGGATGTGTCTCGAATCAGATACCCGCAGAAGCCAAGACCCTGCAGGTTGCAGGTGTTGTGACAGGCAGAGCCTAACCCCGCCCTTCCCACAGGAACAGTGGTCCCATATTGGCTCCTTCTGTTTGCAGGACTCAAGTCTCAGAATGGACTTGCCAGAAATAATGAGCACTGATTGTGCCTGCTACATAAAGGGTGCCCTGGTACTTCTTGGGTGGTAGGAGCAGTCCCCATATTTTAAGGACCTGGGATACCAGAGGGTCTAATAATAAGGACACAGATCTTAGAGACTATGGCTCTGTGCCGTATGGATCCTGAAGCAGATGCAGTCTTACAGGTGTGCATCTGACCACTGTCCCATCCCGGGAGTGCCTGCAGCAGAGCAGGAAGGACATGGCTGTGGACCCTGTTTAGGGCTAGCTCTGGGACTCCTCGCTGGTACTGGCCTCTCCTGCTCAGTGTCAGGCACAGCTTCCCGTGACTGTCCTCAAGCGCTGTCAATGACCAAAGTCCAAGTAGAGCTCAGGGGCGGTTAACTTGCTTGCCTCCTTGGCCTGCTCCGCCATGAGAGCCTGGGACGCTGCATCTTCTCCCTGAGTAGTGGTCTCGTCATCTCCTTGGATTCCACTGCAGCTCCTCTGGGAGTGGCTTCAGGGACAGCCACCTGCAGCATGTCCCCTTAGAGCCACCGCGGTCCTTGTGGCGTCCCTCCTGGTCATCCCTCTTCTCCACCCTCAGAGCGCACCACATTGGTATGAGGTGCTGCACTCCCATTGGCTGCCAAGGTCCTGGAGGGGGCTCCCCTCCAGGGTCGGGTTGTAGAATCCAGGTGCCCTGCAGGTTGTGGGTCCTTTGGAAATCATCTTCGCTTCTCCGTCTGCTTTGGTTCTCACTGCTGGTCTTACGTCTCGCTGCTGGTCTTATGTCTCACCCCACCAACGGGACCCACGGACGTGGTTCCTGTACCTACTGAGTAGACCTACTTACAAAAGCAGCTTGTCCTGATGCGTCATTTCCTTAAACAAGTTGTAAAATGTGATGACGGTTTTGGAAGAGAAATCGGGTTTTGTTTTGTTTCAAGGTTCCAAAGATGGGTATTCGTACATAAACATCACGCAGTGCCACAGGTGCATTGGAAATTCCTTGGTGACGGTGCCTGGGTTTTCCTCTCAGTGACTGTGGGCCACCTTTACAACTTCACGGTGTTGCAGGAAATGCTATTAATCCGGAAACCTCTGCAATGCGGTGAGGCCAGAGTGTTCAGAAGAGATTTTTCCACCTTATTTGGAAAGGAGTAACTGCTTTCCTCAGCTGATAAACATTTTTAATCAAACAGCAAAGGTGTGCAGGAAGGCGCTCGCTTCTCTGGGTCCGATTTTGTTGACTCGTGTGGTTTTTGGAAAGGCACAGGCTGGTAGGAGGTGCTGCTGGTCGCCTGTGGGCATGAGACTCCAGAGCAGTTTCCACAGGGGCCTGAGGCCTTCCTTTCATTTCCGTCCCAAGCAATGCCTGCAAAAATCTTCACACGAGAAGGAGCAGGAAGCCTCATTATCGGTGGAACTACTCTTATTAAACAGCCCAGGGCCTTAACGGGAAGCCTGGAGAGGCTGGTGCTCCCGGAGTCTGTAAAGGAGCAGGCAGGCACTCAGGTGACATCCCAAGCTCTGGTCCCCTCCGTGCGCGGTTTGCAGGAGCCCAGCAGACCCTCTGGTCCCAACATAGCCGAGCCTGGCTTTCCAGGCACATGGATTCTAGCTCATGGGCAGAGGTGGAGGGGCCAGGTCCTGTGGAGAGCCTGGGCCTGCTCTGGGGGGTCAGCCGGCTTGCTTTTAGCGCACATCCTGTGTTTCTCCATTGTGGCATTGGGGCACGGGACAGCCACGGCACGCAGAAGCTGACTGCTTACTGGATGCCACTTGGGTCCCGAGGGTTTGCTTTAGGAGCCTCCCATAAAGGAAGGGGCAAAGGCTTGCTCCCAGGCTATCTGGGGTTGAGGTCCTGGGGAGGCTCTGACATTGGGAAAGGTATTGGACACCTGATGCTATGCTGGGTGGCCTAAGCCATGGACAGTTGCCATCTCTGTTCTGCAGGCCACGTGTCCAAGATCAGGATGGCACCGGACCCGTTTCCTCTGAGACCCCCTCCTTGGCCTGCATGTGGCACCTTCTCCCTTATGTCTGGTCCCGATGGTGTCTGGGGTCTGGTCTGTCCCACTTGACCCCCTTTAGCTTAGTGACCTCTGTCTCTCAGGAGTCATGTGTCCGTCCTGGGGCTGGGACCTCAGCCTGTTCATTGGGGATGTGCGTGAGCTCATCAGAAGTACGTGAAGATAGGGTGGGAAGCAATTCTTCATTTCATAGGTGAGAACCGAGTTGTTGAATTCAGAAGGATCAATGTCCCCTGGCCTGCCGCGATGAGGATGGCCGGGCCAAGCTCTGCGGCCTTCCGCTGCCCACGGGAACCTGCTCAGCCTGGGCCGTCGCCTCTAGACACTGCCACTCCTGGTGCCATCAGTGTCTGTATGGCCCTCACTGCATCCCCAGGCCCACAGAAACCCCTTCCTTTTCTGTCAGGTCCAAACAACCCGCGGAGTATTTAGGTCTTAACCTCTTGGTAGACATTTGGAAAACAAAAATCATAAAAATTGAAAGGAAAACATCATTTTCGTTTTATTCTTAAATCATCACAGCGCTTACCGATGAGATGTGTCCCCGCTGGGCAGCACCGGGCTTGTGGACTCTGCAGCAGCCGTCCCTGGCCTCCCATTCCACACTGACCTGCATGCGTCCTCGTCACAGTAGCCCTGTGAAGCCACTCTCAGTGCTGGGACAAGAGACTGAGTGTGTGTCACGACTCACACGAGGCTGAGAACCGTCTTGAGCTTGGCAGCTCTTGGTGGTCTCTCCGTTTCCCTTGAAATCTTAAACTACGTTCAGCTCCCTGTGCTCCCTGCAGCTCCCTGGGTCCCTCGGGGCGTGACCTAGGGACCGTGAAATTCTGTGGCCGTTTACTTCATACATTCTTTTCATCAGGTCACATGTTAAAGTTTTATTTTTATATTTTGAGCTTATCCTTACTGTCAACATTAATGTCTCTGAAAGCCTGTTTTTAATACATAACTGAATCCATCTGCCACCTAAAGAGTCATTTCCTATACGACTGGTGGTCACCGGTACTCTAGGAAATACAGAGTTTATTAATTTTAAAGAGCAAACAAACTTTCACTTTGGAAACTTATTGTTTTTCCCTCTGTCTGATTTTAATAGACTATTTTTCAGAGGAGTCTTAGCTTCACAGAGAAAATAAGGGGGAGCCAAAGAGAGGGTCCCCATGCCCTCCCCACAACCGCACAGCCTCCTCCATGGGCAGCACCCCAGAGTGGAGGACTGACTTGGGCGTTTCCTCGCCCTCCTAAGCGCACCTTCACTCTTGGTGACGTGCGTCCCCTGGTCTCCCCCTGTGTACCCACCCGTGTCTGCGTCCGCAGAGCCATGGGGAGTGGTTCCCTGCCCTGAGCGTCCTCCCCGCACCCCCGTGCCAGTGTGTGATGTGGACTCTTCTTACAGGAACTCGAGATGCAGGCCCGGGCTCACGGACTCTCCCTCATTCCATCCACGGGTCTCTGCTCCCCGGATCTGGTGAACCGGATCATCAAGCAAGAGCCGGTACTGGAGAACTGCAGCCAGGACCTCCTGCAGCACCAGGCAGAGCTGGCGTGCACCAGCCTGGACCTCACAGACGGCACCCTGGCCTTCAGCAGCAGCCTGGGGCCCACGGCCGAGGGCGCCCAGGCCTACAGCGTCCCCGCGAAGATGGGGTCCAAGCTGGAAGACATCCTGATGGACGACACCCTCTCTCCCGCCGGGGTGACTGACCCACTCCTGTCCTCCGTGTCCCCAGGAGCCTCCAAGGCCAGCAGCCGGAGGAGCAGCATGAGTATGGAGGAGGCCGAGCTGGCGTGTTAGCGCACCTGCCCCTGCGTCCTCAGAGGCCCCCTCCCTGACTGGGACACGCAGCATTCCCCGGAAGGGGTTTTCTTGATAATTTTCCTTCAATATGAATTTTTTCCATGCTTTATTGATAGCCCAGGATA